GAAGACATGGTCGGCGATATCAGGTAAGCAATATATTTTATTTTGTTTTTGCACACCAGCTGCAAGCTGTGTGTGTGCTCTCTCCTCTCCCGACTGCTCCTCCCGTTCTCCTTAAGAAGGGAGTCTCTCCGGCCCAATCACTAGAAAGACAGGTGTTATTTATCATTTCTGATTGACCCGCTGATTAGCCGCCGGGCTCCTAGCATGCTCACCCCCCTTATTGGGTGTTCGATCACGCTTACCTCTCCACAATAGCGTTTGCTGGTGCCAGATGTGCTTATATGCTCAGTTAATTGGCAATGCAGTACACCTTTGCAAGCTTACGCTGCCAATTCATTGTTTTCATTGGCCCGTTCAATACTCTTTCAGACAAGCGGCTTCAGAACTGAAACCTCCCATACGTGGATTTTAACATCAAATCCACTTATAGCACTGGGGTTCCCCAACCGAAGAGGAACCAGCGATCTCTGGCGAACGATCGCTGGTTATGTAACAAGGACAATGCTGAGACTTTGGTGAGTCAATCATGCGATTGCAATTGCTTATGTTCCTATTGCAATCAGATTCAAAGAGATGTTTTATATCTGTTTTTAAATATTATTAAATAAGTTAGGAAATGACCCATGACAACTTTAACGTAAAACAGTTTGGTAAGTTTATCTTCGGCCCATGGCTCTTACTGATATTTGGTTTCTGGCCCTTCATATGAAAACATTTGGTCACCCCTGGATAACACTGTATGGAATGAGAACCAGCAGTTCTTTGGTCAGGTTATGAAAACACAATGAACATCAGATTGACTCAAAACATCATCCAAGACCAGCGACAAGATGATCCCAAGGATTCCATATCCGGGACCAGGCCATATCCTGAGCTGCTGCTGCGCTGATAGTCGTGGGGAGTGGAGAACATGTGTCTGATTCCAGTGACGCTCCAGGGACAGACGAGTCTTCGCTAAGGCCATCTTCCAGCCTCTACCACGGTGACTGAAGCTCTGCACAAGACTTTTGGCCAGCGGAGAAATTAAAATGGTCGTGCCCAACTGAGTCTGGTTCTCTCAAGGTTTTTTTTTCTTCACTCCCATCAGGTGAAGTTTTTTTCCCTCTCCGCTGTCGCTACTGGCTCGCATGGTTCAGGATTGGTAGAGCTACGCATCAATGAATTTGCTCTTCAGTGTCTGAACTCTCAGTAATGATTAAATCACACTGAACTGAGCTAAACTGAACTGAACTTAAACACTAAAAACTGAACTGCACTGTTTCAGTTACTATGACCATTTATGTGAAGCTGCTTTGACACAATCTACATTGTAAAAGCGCTATACAAATAAAGCTGAATTGAATTGAACATATTGACTTTTTTTTACGAAACATACCTGAATTATCAGGAGAAACAAAATCACAAGAAAACTTCAGTGTCTTTCCTCAGGCGCAGCTTAGTAGAATCTGAAGTAAACAAAACAAGTATCGCCACGGTAACCCACAGTGCATGCTTTCTCAACTATGGATGTTATTTTGTTTCAAACCCAGTCATTAGTAGTGATAATAAATTACTTTTACAGTACATACATAAATAAATAGATACACTAATGACAAAACAAACATTACTACTGTGGATACACAATGGTGTATCACACCAGCAGGGGCTGGTGAAGAATGGCTCATGTCCCTTACAGACAGAGGGCTCTATTTTGACGGTCCATGCGCAAAGTGCAAATCGCAGGGTGCAAACGAATTCAGGTGTGTCAGAATCCACTTTTGCTATTTTAAGGACGGAAAAATCCGCTTAGCGCCATGGTGCATGGTCTAAAAGGGTTAAGTTTATTTTCTTAATGAGTTATAGGTGTGTTTTGAGAATAAACCAATAACTCATTAAGAAAATAAACTCAACCCTTTTAGACCATGCGCCACGGCGCTAAGCAAATTTTTCCATTTTTTTTTTTCCCTCTCCGCTTTCGCCACTGGCTTGCATGTTTCAGGATCTGTAGAGCTACACATCACAATGATAACATTATACAAAAGCAAATTGTTATGAATGAACTGAAAAAGCTTCTCGAGATGAAGAAGGCATGAAGGCAGTGGTTTTTATATTTATGTAGGCTACAAAATAATATGTTTTGTAATATTTTAATCCTTTATATTTATATTCCACAGCGCCAAGTGAATTTTTCCGTCCTTAAAATAGCAAAAGTTTGATTGGATCCAATCAATGACTCCTCAGATTATGGGGAGTCACTGATTGGATCCAAGACCAGCGACGAGATGATCCCAAGGTGTCCATATCCGGTACCAGGAGAGCATGAGACTGATTCCAGTGATGCTCCAGGGACAGACGAGTCTTCGCTGAAGCCAGCTTCCAGCCTCCACTGCTGAGACTGCAGCTCTGCACAAGACTTTTGGCCAGCGGAGAAATTAAAATGGTCGTGCCGAACTGAGTCTGGTTTCTCTCAAGGTTTTTTTTCTTCACTCTCCTATCGGTGAAGTTTTTTTTCCCTCCGCTGTCGCCACTGGCTTGCATGTTTCAGGATCTGTAGAGCTACACATTGATGAATTTGCTCTTCAGTGCTTGGACTCTCAGTAATGATTTTAACCACACTGAACTGAGCTAAACTGAACTGAACTTAAACGCTAAAAACTGAACTACACTGTTCCAGTTACTATGACCATTTATGTGAAGCTGCTTTGACACAATCGACATTGTAAAAGTGCAATACAAATAAAGCTGAATTAAATTGAATTTGCTATTTACATGACGTAAAGTAAGTGTAGGTGGAAAAACTGAGCATTTCACTTGCAAGAAAACAGTTAAACAGAGCATCTACAGCGCGAGAATGAGAGATAAATTATTAACTTTCACTTTCACTCTCGTGGATAGGGAAACCTTGTACACACAGACATCAATTAGCCTATAAATAATTAGTTTTGTTTGTTAAGCGCAAAAATTAGTTTCAAAACTATTTCTAAATTCAGTTCTAATTTCCAGCAAACGAATAAATGAATAATAATAACAAAGTGTGCTCAAAAACCTGAGTTATATCCTAAAACACATGCTGTGCCCCATATGGTCTAAAACCTGACAGGTGGACAAATCTAAGCTTGTTTTTAAGCAATGCTTAAAAACAAATATAAATATAGATATAATAAATAATACTGCTAATAATAATAACATTATACAAAAGCAAATTGTCAAGAATGAACTGAAAAAGCCTCCCGAGATGAAGAAGGCATGAAGGCAGTGGTTTTTATATTTATGTAGGCTACAAAATAATATGTTTTGTAATATTTTAATCCTTTATATTTATATTCTATATATATCCTTATTATATCCTATATATACCCTGAATATTTTAATTATTTTTCATATGTAAAGATATTTGCGTATTGCTTTACATCTCATGCGCCACATTGCGCCGGGTGTATGATAGGGCCCAGAGCCTCCAAAATCACATAACTATTTGTGATGTTTCCCATTTTGGCATGCAAAGCTGACCCTGGAAACAGGTCTAGGGTGCTGTAAATAATTTTGATGGTTTCTGCACATGTCTGTAATCATAGGAAAAAAGAAAAATTTATCTACCATAATCTATGCAAAAGTTATTGCTTTCCAACTGATGAGAGGTGCTGTACAAGCCACAGGGGTTGATCCTTGTACATATAAAAGGATTACACAGCGTAAGGTAAGAGATGACAGCTGTCTGTGCTATCTGGGGCTGCTTTTTGATCATGAATGTATTGTTTACACTTCTGCGTCACGGAAACACCGCGATTCATTTGACAACTGTTTGATATGTGAATATAATTCAGTAAAAAGAATGCTAGAACTGTATGAGCACCGGCAAGAGCTTTCATTTGAGCTATAACTTGTACATGTGTCATATATGAAAAATATGAAAATGAACTAATGTTCAATACCCAGCTCTGATATCCAAAATTCTGTGTATTTAAGTGTAAATAACTTTTGTACAGTAGAATAAAAACCAAAGTGATGCATATGTGCATAAAATATAGATTCTACACTTTCAAACGAAACCACTTACGGGGGTCTGGTGCACTGCTAGCCCTTTAAATCCTAAAGTGAACGTCGATGACGTCACAGACCCAGTACCGGGTCCGCAGAGTTTAACTGGTTAAAAAAGAAATTACTGAGACTTGTTTAAAGAGTTTTAACGCATCACCATATAAAATGGCTTCGCTTTAATGAACAAGTTCAAAATAAGCAATCAAAGACAACAGCAAGAAGTCTTCATCACAACGCTTGATTTAACAAAGGATTTGCTATCTATACACTACTAAACACAGCGTCTCAGTTCTAGCATGAATGCTTTTTTTGAACATACGTAGCCGTTGCAGTTAACACAGGAGAGATGAGCAGTCTGGATGAGATTCTTGTTTTTAACAAGTAACACACACCAGTAAAATCCATTCCATGACCTGAATTATAAAACTGCTGATTTGCCTTCATGTGGACCAACCTGCAGTCAAAATATAATAGTAAATCTGGAATGGTTCGCCATCATGCAAAGCCAGCAAAAGCTGGAAATCAGGGAAGCAAATCTTGTGTTATGGTATTTAAAAAAAATTTGTAAAAAGCTAAAACAGCAGTACCCTACTGAAAAAAACAGCTTAAACCAGCCTAGGCTGGTTCTGGTTGGCTGGTTTTAGCTGGTTGGCTGGTTTTAGCTGGTTGACCAACAAGGTTTTAGAGGGGTTTTGGTCATTTCCAGGCTGGTTTTCAGCCATTTCCAGCCTGGTCTTAGCTGGTCAGACTGGAAGATGACCAGCTAAAACCAGCTTGACCAGCCTAGCCAGGCTGGGAGCCCAGCCAAAACCAGTTATGTCCAGCTTAAACCAGGCTGGTCAAGCTGGATTTAGCTGCTGGAAATGGCTGAAAACCAGCCTGGAAATGACCAAAACCCCTCTAAAACCAGGCTGGTCAACCAGCTACAACCTGCCAACCAGCCTAGGCTGGTTTAAGCTGGATTTTTCAGCAGGGTAGCCTGTCTACCATATTCTATTTAAATGTTTTCAACTAATCTAACACTCATTTAGCGTTGACACGTCAATATAAATCCGAGCTCGCATCTGGAGGCTCTCCATAAAGGCTCTGCGAATTAAACGAGCAGGTATTCCCTGAGGTGCAAGGACCTGAGAGACGGTGGTACTTTCACGAGCCCTCCGTGCCTTATTCAGGCGGATGTGCACATTGTAGTATGTCTGATTGTTATGGATTATGGGACTCTGCAAGTCAACACGAAGATTAGCAGAGGATATCAGATTGGAGCGAGCCTCATCCACCAGATACTCATTGTGCCATTTACTGGTTAATTTTTCCACCTCATGCCTGAATTGAATACCATCAGTGATGTCCCTAGAAGCTGGCTCAGCACTAAAGTGTGTTATAATGATCTTTCCCTTGTCCACCCTTGTGCATATCACAATTTTCTGGGGTTCATTATCAGAGTTTCTACTACTGCTATTTGTAGAGGTGATGTAGGAGCATTCTGCAGCTTCAACGGGCCCACAGTAACCATGTTCTGTCTCTGAGGTCCAGCACCAGTTGTAAGTTTTGCCATGTAAGCCACAGAAGTGATCTGAGTGACAGGCATGACCATTATAGGCTACATCCACCTCTGGAGAGCATAATTCCCAGCCATTTGTATTGCCTATATTACACCTATAGTAATCTCCACTCTCGTAATACTCACAATCATCAAAGCAATAGTTATTATAATGAGTCCGGTGGACAAACACCTTTGGCTCCACTAGCCCGCAGTAACTCTGGCTTCCCTCCACTTCACACCAGTGGTAGTAGTCATTATGTTTTTCACATGGGCTGTCTTCCTTACACGGCCTATTCAAGTAATCTGTGTTTTCAGAAGGCGAACAGTAAGCCGTTCCACTTGCAACATTGCACCAATTGTAGGTTTTATCTTTTTTTCCACAGTAATTTTGACACGGCCCACCTATATTTCCAAAATGTTTGTTGTCATCTCTCACCAGCCCACAGTATCCCCACTTAAATAAACCGACTTGGCATGAAAAGTAGCCGTTTTCACCCCTCTTGCATTCACTTGTTTCATGGCACCACCTTCCCAAATAGTCCATGTTTGCTTTCGGCGAACAGAACATTGTCTGGCACTGTCCATTGTTATCAATTGTTTTGCACTTATACTTGGCCCCATCTGTCTTGCAGTCTCCAATACAGCGTGTTCCTAGATGAGTCCAGAAAGTTTCCCCAGCACTCAGTGAACAGAAGACGAGGAGCAAAACCAGGGAGATGTTCAGATGCTCCATTCTTTCTGTGAAGAGAAGTAAATTAAACAAGCTCTTACTCTTTCGAGTACTTTACACTGAACAGCTTTGAACATTAGGAACTTACTTCAGGTCAACCCTAAACACCCTACCAAAAAATATTGAATCATTTGGCTCCAAATTGCCTCAACTCAGCTGCCTAGATGTTTCAGGTATACCTAGTAAGACCTTGATTAGCTTGTTCAGGTCCCTCCAGGACCAAGTTTGGTGACCCCTGCCATAGCCAATTGACTAAACCAAATTATCACCTAAGACAGCCTTAGTTTACACTTCTCACACGCGACAAGCAGGGGAGTTCTCGAGACCTACTAGAGCTCGAACTCAACTCTCGCCCTTCTAGCGAGAGGGAGCCCTGGGCTCGAGGATATTACGAGCTCAGGGCTCTCACCCGGCACAGCATGCCAAATACACTTTATTGATTATTAGCTAAGTGTGAACTCTTGAAATAAGAATTTAAGAGTAGTAGATCAAAAGATCACAGGCAGTGTCACCATCTAACATACAGTGGTGTAAAATTACAAATACTCAAATGACTGTAATTGAGTAGATTTTTTCTCAGGAATGTTTATTTACTAAGTACTAATTTAATAATAAAAATTTGAACTTTTGCTTAACCTTCAGTACATTTTTAGTGCAGTATCGTTACTTTTACTACAGTGGCTCGGGAAGTGCAAAACAACATCACAAAGTGTGAAACGCTTTTACGAAGCTCGAGACATATTCACATTTTGGAATTTTTTTTTTACTAGGGCTGTCAAATGATTAAAAAAATTAACATAATTAATCATGATTAATCACAAAATGCCGTATTCATTACAAAAATAAAAACACAGGCATGTAAGTGCCATTTGAATTTTAAAACAATCCATGCAAAAAACAAACAAAAATGCTTTCCATGTTGGATTCTTAGTGGAGGGGGTTCGCTCACTATATATATGGTGGCCGCCTAGGTCACCTCTATGGACGTGCCGGCCTTAAACACACGTCAGCCACAACAGGAAATAAAAAAACTGCAACTTCGTTATTCGCGTTATTTTTTAATGCGTAAAATGTTTCTAATTAATCATGAGCGTTAACGCCCCAATTTTTACCTATCATAAGACACAATTACATATAAAAAACAATTTTTCCAAGGACCAAACTAATTTATATTTTAGAAAAAAAAAAAGGCACAAAACACTTTTACCATGCCTGGGTTCCGTTCTTTGTACCTTGCTTAAATGATCTAAGATGGTTTGGCAGATCCTGGATCTGTTAATCTTGATAACTGATCTCTCGCTAATTTGGTTCTTCAAACGAGTTCGCAAATCAGATTAGAATGTCTGGATAAACTGATCTGAGATCGCTGCGTGTGTTGTGAAGGACAGATCTAGCGATCCTAGAAACCATGATCAGCAATGCAACAATTGGCTGACGGCACAGCAGCGTAATGACATCATCTGATTAATATTCAATTATCCATGTGAGCAAAATTACATCAAATTAGCAGTAAACGGTTTGTTAAATATGACACGCAAGAACCTTCCACATTTGTTGTGAGTTGCAGGCTTTACACTTTCATGTGTGATGAGTATTCATCATGTATTTCAATGCAAATCAATGTATTTAGTTCCACATTTAGAAAAGATTTTCTTTATTATAGTAACCGTCTTTTAATTGGTGTAAAGAATAACTGGTTGTTTACAAAAGAATTTTGATATTGGTAAAGGCGTCTGCAACTTTTGTGAAGCATCAAATCACTGGAATATTAACTGCCAAAACATGTTTATGACTGCATAAATGTATTATTGATTTTAAAAAAAGTCACATATTGTGCATTATCATACACAAATTGTACTAAAGCGATCTAAAAAGTTCATACTAATAAGTTTTCTCTTTACACCACCAGGTGGCAGTCTTTACTTTCATTTCGAGGGTGCAGATTGCATACGTTTTAGTAATATATATAACTTTATGTATTAACTATAACTATATATATATATATATATATATATATTCCCAAGTGTATATAACTACTACTGTAAGAAAATATCAGAATTCTGAACTTTTCTTACAGTAGTAGTTATATACATTGGGGAAAATAGTATTATTGTATTATCTTTGCTAGAACTGAACCGATCTAATCCAGTTTATATGAATTGAACCTGCTCCCGACCAGGTTTGAGCTAGCAGAACTGTTGCTATGACAACAACTCTCGGATCAGCTTTGAAGAACGAAATGATCCTGCATCATGTCAAATCGCCAATATCCAAATCCAGCTAACTGAGTAATCACGTACGAAGAACGGACCCCTGAAACAAATTTACAATAACACTAACACTAACTCACTAGGGGCCTGTACAAAGACATGCATTGAATTAAGACTAAAACATTGCTTATGGATAAAGCTGTAAATGTGTGTACGCAGTAAAAATATCAGATGTATGAAACACTGCGTACACGGAATCCCACACATATTCTTTTTATTTATCTGAATTAACGTGAAACTGAGCGCACGTGCACAAGAGAAAAACCCCTCCCTGCTTCTTTCCCCGTATAAATATGGTAATAAGTCTACTTTGGCAAAACCATAAGAAAAAGCAATTGCCAAAGCAAGCAAGAGGAGAAACTTCACAGAATGTGAATTGGAGGTGCTCCTATTGGAGGTAGACCGGAGAAAAACTGTGTTATTTGCAAGATGAAAAGGTGCAGGTTAAGAGGAGAACAGTGGCGCTAAGTCAATGGGACTCTATTATATTATGATTGCATAATAGTCTAATATTCGGTTGCATAATATTAAATATTAAATATATATTAGACATATTAGACATAATATGTTGCATATTAATATCGTAATTGTATTTTTTTTTTTTGTAAAATCTTTATATACGTTACATGTGTGAGCATGGGTCACGAGTTAACACGACTCCTAAGGCACAGGTACACATGAGTCTACAACTATGAAAAAACATAGTTTGAGCAACTGATGAAGCTTCGATTAGTCATTCAGAGCTATTCTATCAGCGGGAGAGTTTGTAGAAACATGTTAACTCGAGTGCATGTAACTACAACATGTAAACATGTTAACATCGATGGAAACACGTCAACACGAATCCACTACCACAGCAAAGCACATTTTGACTGATGAAGATATCAAAACACTTTCTGTATTGTTCTAAGTAGCTCAGTAAGATAAGTTGATGCTTAAGTGCTAAAGCTTTTTACTACACGAGATTGAATCACATTAATGACATGTAATTATTTTTTAGATAAATTTTGGTTAAATACTGTTCTGCTACGCAGATATTAAAATCAATAATGCTCACAATGACACTGACGTAATAAGAAGCTTTATTTGGTATGGGCATGTTTTGTTGCTGTGAAAAAGTGACGAATCTGCCAATCTGCAAACGTAAATAGCTTAAATCTGGAAAGGGACACCAGTTTAAACAGTCATCAGTTAAACAGTAACATCGGCCAAAGTATTTTACTCCACTACTTTCCTTAAACCTGCAGTCACTACTTTATTTTTTCTCGTCTGTGAGGATTAGAAAATTCAGTCCTGTGATTTCGGTCCAATCAAATTCCACATAGAAGTAAAGAGGTTAACTGCATCAAAATGAACTACCTCAAGACATGGGCGATTTTAATAGTAAACTGTTTAGAAGCATTAAAAGCGTCCAAGAAGATGTCCAAAATCTTTAAACACAATGACCCAGAAATGTTTACTGTATGATGACCGAAAGGGCCTTAAACATCTACAGGCACACGATATCAACATGATGTCAGATTGATGCTGTACCCCAACATCGCGTTCCATTTTTTTTGGAAGTGAAAATCGGGTTGATGCCAGAACACTTAAAAAGTAAGATGTCCAACCTAAAATCAATCAAATATCAACGTCTAATGATATTACAATGTTGTGTGGATGTTGCCACTATGACGTCTATCAGATGTTGGATTTTAGTTGCCGTACCTGATGAATAAATGTCAGTGTTTGACGTCAATATGATGTTGGTTTAAGATGTTGGCTTGATGCTGGATTTAGGTTACTTTCTAACACATTCAAAATCAACCAAATGTCATTTGACATCGTTATTGAACATCAAAATAACGTTGTCCTTAGACACTGAATAGACATTGAAGTTTGGTCACCTGACATCACAACCTAAATCTAACCTAAGATTAATGTCTTATGACGTTGTGTGCCTGCTGGACAAAAGTGCACTACACACTGCAAAAAATGCTTTTCTCGCTTAGATTTTTTGTCTTGTTTCTAGTCTAAATATATAAAAAATTTTATATCAAGAAGCATTTTCTAGACAAGCAAAACATATTGTCTTGTTTTGAGAAATAATATGCTAATATTAAGAGAGTTTTTCTTAAAACAAGCAAAATAATCTGCCAATTGGGTAAGCAAATTAATCTTGTTTTTTCTTTTAACGTAACATTATTTTGCTTACCCCATCGACAGATTATTTTGCTTGTTTTAAGAAAAAACTCTTGATATTAGAATATTATTTCTTAAAACAAGACAATATGTTTTGCTTGTCTAGAAAATTCTTCTTGATTTAGGTATTTTTAGATATTTGGACTAGAAACAAGACAAAAAATCTAAGTAAGAAAAGCATTTTTTTGCAGTGCAGAATGTTACGTTTACACACACACATGCACAAATTAGATGTAAATGCATCAGCTTTTAACAGCATAATACTCACTACTCGCTACTCTTGAGTACTTTTAAAAGGACTTTTACTTGAGTATAATTTTTCAGCACTCTTTCTACCACTGCTAATATTCAAATGTCAATCCAAAACCAAGGCCCTCTTAAATCCTCAGTCAACCTGAACATGGAGGTTAATCTAAATAAATAAGCACATTGTTGTGTTGTATGGACAGCCGAATAACCTACATATCTCCACAATCCATAAAGTTCAGTTCATACATTTAAATAATTTGTTCTCACCTTTTAATTGAGAGTGTAGTCAGCTATTCAGCAACCCTGGGCGGTGTCTGATACAGAGAGGTTCGGCTTCTTAGGGCTTGATGAGAGTACGTGTTCAGGCTCAGATCATAGGTTATAAAAGAAATACTCTGAGACTATGCTATATATACTCTTCTGAATACAGAGTTTCTGAATTTCAGCATTAGCACCTTTTTTGGGCATAAATCCAGTTTGACCTTTTGCTTGCTGATGTTGTAACTAGTTCTTGTGACAAGGCAAAACATTCATTCATAGCTGTTGCAGGTTAGCAGAGATAAGCAGTGACGCTTCTTTTTTTTTTCCACGCATAATGCACCGACGTTTCATTCCTTCTACACTCTGTGTTTTAAAAGTACTCACCATCTTAATGCTACTAAAAATTGCATACGAAAAAAAAAAAGAACACATAGTCTAGTTCAGGGGTCTCAAACTCAATTTACCTGGGGGCCGCAGGAGGCAAAGTCTGGGTGAGGCTGGGCCGCATAAGGGATTTCACACAAAAAAAGTCCTCAAATGTCATTATTAACAGTTTTAATGATTTCTTCTGAACATGAAGGGTCCTGAACATTAATAGAACATTGAGTAAAGATTATGAACAGTTCTTCTGAACATGGCATCTTTTGCCTACTCCATACTGCCAGAGACTTGACAGCGCTTCTTCTCACAAATCTGAACCACATTTGGCTTTAGAGCAGAAGCAGTTGAGACCCTCAGTATGGCTTGAAGATGATCATCATTAAGTCTAGACCTGTACTTTGACTTATTGAAGTTCAAGGTGGAGAATAACTTCTCACACAGAAAAAAGTGGGGGAACTCACTCAAAACTTCCATTCCCTCACCTAAAAAAAAGGCGTATATATGTATAAATAAAACACCCCCACCCCACTCCAGTCACATCAGTCTGTACCAGCCTGTATCTACCTATAATATATATAAGATGCAGGCTGTAGCTAGGTAGGTGGCAGGCTGCAGATAGGTAGCTAAGTGGCAGGCAGGGGCGGGAACAGCTTACCTTGGTTCTGGCCGGCGCGAGTTCCCTCCTAACACTTCCCGCCTGTCACAGCCTCTCCCCGCTCTGCTGATTCTGTCAGTGTACAGCGGTCGGCGCGGGCCACAAAATATTGCACTGAGGGCCGCAAATGGCCCGCGGGCCGCGAGTTTGAGACCCCTGGGGCCTGTTTCAGTAAGGAGGTTCAAACAACTCAGAGTTTAAACTTGAACTTTGAGTTGATTTACAGAGAGATTAAAAACTCAGAGTTTTCGGTTTCAGAACAGCTGATCTGAGTTGGGTCAATCAACTTCGAGTAGACCAACTCAGAGTTAAGCGCGCACACCGTGACTTTAAAAAGGCATTATCAATGGAGCGCAGACATTACGAGTGACTATGGCAATATCTTATAAAAGAGATCAGCATTTCTTTCTCCAGCTGAACTTGATGTTCTCATGCAAAGTTATAGCAAATATGAGTGTATATATTTGAAAAGAAGCAACCATCAGTGAAGAAGAGACAGTTAGCGTGGAAAACAGCTGCTTAAGTTAATGCCTAATTTCACTTTTTAAGTATTTAAATATTTAAGTATAATAAAATAAGTAATGTAATTTGTGACGTTTACATTTTTTTTCTAAACTTGTTTATACATTTATTAGTTTTAAATGATTTAACAGTGCACTTGTGTATCTGCCTTTTTTATTGATCAAGTGATAGAGGTTAATATAACATTTAGAAGGTAAGCAGTACTAAAAATAATTTTTAGAAAGAATAATAATGCCATTAATCTAGTTACATGCATGTCGAAGGTGAATTTAATTTAATTATTTATTAAAAAAGGATAAGCCATTCTAGTACAGTTCTTCTGTGTGTGACTAAAATGTAGGCAATAGCTGTGTTTCCATCCAAATATATTACATAAATGTATGTGCAAAACTGAAAAATAAAATTCCATCCAACGAGTCAAAGAGAAAAAAATCGTCACTTTCTGATTAAACTGGCACCAAATATCAACAGTAAAAACAGAATTTACTGTGGTAGAAGAAGCTGTGTCAATTAATTCTTTATTTAGCCTAATTAATGTACTTGCGCCTCGATGTCAGAAGACAATGCTGAAACACAATGAACACATGGGGGCGTCTGAAGCCATGAGACGCGGAGACTCTTGACACGCACCAGACGTTCGGAGGTAATTAATAATATACACTAATACTGAAACAGTAAAGGCATTTTAGAATGACTAAAACAATATTTAAGACGTGTTACAGTGTGCTCAGCCTGCTGGTTTGTCCATTTACACACATTTTCATTATCATATGATCATGATCTTTTTTTAATGTACATGCTGTAATTTGTTCAGTAAAAGTGTTTCCATCGTAGTTTATGCGCACATTTTCTATCGAATAAAAGTTTATCCTACTCAGTTATGCAAGTTTTTTATGCATATTTTAAAAAGTTATGTGCATCATGAGGTTTCCATCAATCGTTTTTATGCACATATCCAAAATAAGCATTAAAATTGGTGGGTGGAAACGTAAGGCTAAGGCGAGAAATACCGCTTCATCTTTAACAAAGGGGAGGAGACCGACAGAAACTCTGAGTTTAGAGAATAAAACCTGCTTCTGACCAGGTTAGATTCACAGAGTAAGTTACCACAGTAACTGACTCTGAGTTAAAGTTACCTTTCTTTCAGAAACAGGCTTGACTTACCCTGCTTTCTTGAGTTTAACAAACCTGCCATTTTGAAATGGAAAACCCAGAGTTTCTCTCATTTCAGGGTTAAAATACTCTGAGTTTTCAGTTAACCTCCTTTCTAAAACAGGCCCCTGGTCTAGTTAGATTAGATTAGATTCACCTTTATTGTCATTACAGATGTACAAGTACAAGGCAACGAAATGCAGATTAGGTCTAACCAGCAGTGCAATAGCAGCAAGTGCAGGATACAGGAATAAGTTATAAAGTGCAGTTATAGAAAAACTGGGGTGATATTTACAGATGGGTGTACTATCAACATTATATACAAGTTGTATTAGCTATAAACAAAGATTTACAATTAATATATGTACAGGTAGCTATTAATAATCAGAAGTGCGCAGATAGATAAACATAATTATAAATGTATATAGTGGGTGTATATAATTACAGAAGTCCATGTGCAGTGGGTATGTACAGTTCAAATCAGTGTAATGTAGTGCAATGAATATGTGCAAATTTTAAATGTGCAAATGTTAAACAGTGCAGTGATTGTGACGAGTATAAGGAGAGTGGGGGGCATACCTGTCAACATTAGGATGTGAAAATAAGGCATATGCCCACCATAATAGGGGATCCCCCCATTAAAAAATAAAAAACAAATAGTATACAACAGCAGCAAATACATTAGCACACAGTTCCGCTTATTAAAATTAATAGCTTTTATAAAGAAATAGAATAGAAGTTATCAAATCTCATTAGCCGTTTCTTCACTGTATAATTTACACATTCTGATTAAAGAGGATCAATCAGCCAGTCCAGGCCTGGTGTCTTCTCATGGACAGTATGTCGAACCTCTAAAGTTAGTCAGAGGATGTAGGGTTAACTAAAGACGTACTCACACTATGCCATCCGATTCATGCCCAGGCCCATTTTCTAGGTCGTTTGAGAAGTGTGAGTGCGCTGAATCGGGTTCAGGCAGGGTTCACTTGGCCGGCCCTGGCCCGATTGGAAGAGGTGGGCCTGAGCGTGGTTCACTTGGGCTTTGTGTGTGTGAGTGCAAAATGCGCCAAAGCCCGAAACTGAAAGCGAGACATGACTTTTAAGGGACTGTTTCTTATGGATTTATTAATCATTCTTACTGTTCAATGAGCGCACACTGCCGTAGCTTATTAAATACGCAAACCCCTCACTGCACAACAGCTGAGAGAAATCTCCACTGTGCTGAGCGAGAGTGCTAACTGAACAGCGCAGCATCGATGACGTAAGCGTGCCCAGGCCCGACTTTAATGTGAGTGCGGGCCATCGGGGGAGACGGGAGGGGGGACAAGCAAGCTTTGACTCGGTTCAAGGCAACTGTACATAGTGTGAGTATGACCTAATACTTTAATTGTCTGGTTGCCAACTGCTCACTCATCCTAAAAAGTAGTAGATTTTGCCACTTTCAGACAACTTGCCAATTTCAGCAATTAGTTGATTAAAGATCTCCATGCTGTCGTGTCAAAACAAATTTTTACAGTCAAATGTGCCTTAGAATCAAATGTCTAATCACGTTGAATCATAAAGGCAGCACAGACTCCACTTAATCTACTGGATATAAAAAGATTTCAGGAGAATTCAGAATGAAGGGGGAAGAACAAAACCGAAAACCACCCAGCTATAAAGAGTCCAGACATCCTATAACAAGCTGTCTGTATGAACACACGCACAAATGAGCACCAAGCAAGTGACACACACACACATAGACAGCAACAAACAAGCTAAACGCAACATCACGCTGCCTTATTCACACATATACATACATGTGCTCGCTCTCTCCGGAGTCAAGAGCGATATTGTTAGACCACCCTGTAATGAAGTTCACGGCCCTTCGGCTGCCGGGAAGAAGGAGGCGGAGAACCGACGCAGTTTTTAACTGATTTATTAATAACAGTGACGGCAGCAACTCACGGAGGCTGCCGTCTAAACCAAAACAAACAGACAGCAGCTCCTCACGGAGACTGCCGTCAAACTGAAACCAAAAGTAAAATGCCCAGGCCCGGTCCTCTCTCGGCTTCCTCTGCCATCGTTCCTCCTTTTATCGTCCAGAGCTCCTTCCGTGGGATCCGAAGCAAGTGCGCACCGCAGGTGTATCCACTTACGCGGTGGCCTCACTCTGTTCCCACGGCTCTCCGCCATGCCCCCTCGCCACACACCCGCTCCCGTCCAAAATCACACTAGTTAACGACTGCTCCCGTGCTTTGTTCGGAATGCAGACCTCCAATGCATACCTGACCAGAAAAGTCAAATGGGGGGCGGATCTGGGGCATCTGGCAAAGATCTTATCAAAGCCAAAAACCAAATGAACATACACAAGTGAAATATTACAGTGACATTAAGACCACTTTACCAGTCACACT